CTCTCCAGCTCTTTCCTTGCCCGCTGTTCCTCCTCTAGCGTCCTCTTCATCCTCTTGTTGTCCTGGAGGAAGGGTGAAAGGATAAGGAGAAAAAAAATAGATGAAAATAAATCAAAAGAGAGACAATAGATATCAAATTCATCACCAAAAATAAAGTGAACCTGCAAAGGCAGAAACAGGCAGAGAAAAGGTCAGTTCAAAGCCACCACAGTGATCTAGGTCATAAATAGCATTGATGCACAGAAAAGGCTTCTTTCAGCTGCTCCGTTACACCAATATGGAACTTTTGTCTTGAAACCAAAGTAAAAAACCCATGACACTGCGCTGTGCTCCACACTAAGTATGTTTTTACTCATTCAGGACCTGATCTCCATTTAGAAACAGCCTCCATCCCTACTTTGTAGCTACTACAAAAATACTCCAAAGTATTAATGATCTGCAGTAATACTGTCAGTAGAACCAAAACCCTAATTTCCTTTATTTGTATCAGGATAAAGGATCTGCCAGTACAGCATGTGTCCTTAATTAAACATGCAGGCATGTATTCAAACACACTGCCAGCAACTTCTTGGAGACCATCTGTGTTCTTGGACCTAATTTTGAACCTTTTATGTAAAACACGAGCAATAAACTGGTTACAGTAAGAAGATCTTGGCAGCAATAACCTTGTTTCTAAAAGAACTGGAGACAGACCTGTTTGAGTTCCTGGACTTCGTCTCTGAGGCTGTACACAGTGTCCACCAGACTCCTGCAGGCACAGAAAACAGTTCTTATTTATTTAGCTTCACCAGCACTGACTGAATATGCACAGTTTCACATGTTTAACTCTCTGCATGAGTGTTGATGTAGGATTTATATACTTTGACATTCTGTTTAGTATCCTCCACTTTCATTAAGCATATTTATGCCTTCGATTTTTAAAACGTTTCTTTTTATTTATTGCCATAATAACTGCATGCCCACAGGGATGACAAAGGCAGTATCAGTTTTCTGTGTGTAAGTATTATAGCAAACGTTAAAAAAACATCTTTGTCTCTCACCTCTCCTCTACTACAGTCTGTCCATTGCTCCTTGTTTCCTCCACTATAATCTTCTCCTCTTCTGGGAACAACACCTGGACGTCCTTCCTACTGGAGCCTGATTCGACATCGACAACAGTCAGGTTATTATAAAAAATATAACCTGTGTGACAAATCATTTCAACTTGTAAACATACAGTTCAAAGAACAATATCAGAGGCTTTAACAGGTGATGCCTTACAAACTACAAGCAAGCAAATGATATAATATTACCTTCACTGCTGGCAGATATAAGATAATGAAATGTGGCACTTTCAAACACAAACCTCACACACACACACCGAGAAATCTGTTTCATTTTGCCTGGAGCCTGACTGAGGCTATATGCACTTAACCTCCTAGGACCCGGCGTCCACATATGTGGACATCACATTTTGGGTTATTTAGACCAAAATACTAAATTTTGCTCTACAAGGGCCTGACATCCACTTACGAGGACATTATACTGCCTCTGTTTTATCGAAATCTAAAAAGAATATCCTCATATGTGGCTCTCATTTTTCTTAGAAACAAAAATCAGGTAAAAAAAATAATCTGGTGATTCCTTGTTTTTACATTCATCGGGTCATAATATGCCCAAATATCAAAGAGAAATTAAAAATGCATGCCATAGAAGAGTTCAGATCTTAGGAGGTTAAACCTGCAGTGAAAGGCAATCTGTATGGTTGTCATGAACGTATCACCAGTTATTATGTTACTGTACTTGTCCACTTGCTTGTTTTGTTTGTATGCATTTCAAACAGCAATAAACATA